AAGAAGAAGAAGAAGAAGAAGAAGAAGAAGAAGAAGAAGAAGAAGAAGAAGAAGAAGAAGAAGAAGAAGAAGAAGAAGAAGAAGAAGAAGAAGAAGAAGAAGAAGAAGAAGAAGAAGAAGAAGAAGAAGAACGAATGGAAGAGAAAAGCTATGGGAAGAGAGGGTGTGAAGATGAAGAGCACGATTGAAGAGTGAGGCCGGAGTGAGAAGAATGAGAGAGCGAGAAATTAGATTATGGTATTTTTGGAGTATGAAACTTTCATTAAATATCCAGTGCCTCCTCAATTTGATTCAGAAATTGAAAGCAGGTCCACACCTGCTTCTTCTAATGGCTTTGGCTCATAGTAATTTATTATGTTTTTTTTTTTGGTAAATACCACGAGGTGTCCCTACACCCGAAAGGTGAGATTAATCCCCCCTCTGGTTTCGGCTTGCCCCTGGCCACAAAGTACTTCCAACGGGTTTCGAACTCTTGTCATTGATGCACCAGGAAGCTCGCCAGTTAGATGTGGTAGTTTGCCAACAGTATCACACCTTGTGATTGCTCATAGCAACTCTTTAACAAAAGTGATTTTCAACCCTTTTACCAAACGGGCTTGGACTTCAAAAAATTTCAAAAAATCACTTATGGCTCTAAATAAGAAATGCCAAATGGGTACTTAGGGAGTCTATTGTGGATACTCTGTCCATGATATTTTCAATAGAAAAATATTGAAAAATAAAAAAAAATGCCAAAGAGCGTCTAAAATGCTTACCAAAAAAGAAAACGAAAACATGACATGGAGTCAGTGAACCGATATTTAGCAATTTCATTAAAATAATTTAAACTAATTAAAAAAAACAAAATAAAAGTAGCGAAACCAAAATTTCGCGAACCCAAAAGCCCAATCCGATCTCAAACACACGCACTCTTACCGTCTCCGTCTTCGTTCGAGGGCTTTCTTTCGCTTACAATCGGCGCTCGCCGCCTCTCTCTCTCTCTCTCTCTCTCTCACGTACCTTTTAGCAGTATCAACCAATCTATTTCAAACCCTAATTCCCACAGCTATACCTATATTTTTCAATTTCTTGTTTCAATTTCTGGGGTTTCATTTCCCAATTTTAATCGAATAATCTCCGAAGCTGCATAGCTCGTGAATCGAAGAAGTGCATGTTAGTCTTTACTGCTTTCTTGTTTTAATCTCGTTTTGTTTTTAGATCTGAGTCTGTTTGGACTTAGGGTTACGTATTGATTTTCGTCGAAGTTTGTAACTTTGCAATTGAAATATTGGGGAATTAGTCGGGCTGATTTTGTGGGGGTTTAGGGTTAGGGTTTTATAGCTGACTTGAATTGGGATAAGGACTCCTTATTCTGTGGTTCTCTAGAGCTCGGATATATAAATATATGGCCACTGGAAGACATGGGGGTTATCGCGATAATGAGTTCAGGGACCGGGAGTCCAATTTTGACTTGCCAAGGAGGGATTTCGCTACAGCTAAGGAGGACTACGAACGGATGAGGAACGGAAATCGTGATGGTGAAAGGGGTCAAGGTAGGGATTTGAGAGATAGAATGAGGGTTAGGCAGAAGGATATAAAGGAGAGGAATGGTGGGTATCGCTCCTCTTCGAGCAGCAGCGGTGGTGGGGCTGGTAGTCGTGGGCCTAAGCAAAGTGGGTTTTCTGTTAGGGCCTTGGACAGGGAACCTGGTGAATTGTCGAGTGAGAGTGGGTCTGATGATGCTATTGAATCTGCATCGCAGGTCAGAGAAAATGTGGTTTCAAAGGTCGTAGAGAATGGAACTGAGTCTCCGAAAGAGAGGAAAAGGAAGTATTCGCCCATTGTCTGGGATAGAGATGACAACAAAGGAATGAGTAATTCGTCAAAAACTAGGATTACCACTGCGCTGACAGCTCTTCCTCCTCCACCGCCGCCGTCTAGGGTATTTCATCAGTCTCCTAATGTTATTTCAGATAGCAGTGTACAAATATCTTCAGTTAAAATTGTTGAGGTCGATAATATACAGTCTTCTTCTCCAGTTAAGCCTCCTGTGGAACATGGGTCTGTTAGCAATGGTGTATTGGAGTCTCCAGTAGGGCTATCTTCACAAAGGCAGCAATGGGGTGATGATCATGAAGCAGAGCAGCTAGAAGATGAAGAATATGTCCCGACCCGGAATATATCATCTTCAAGATGGGCAGCGGGAAATAATTCTCCTGGTGATGAAGGAGAAATTTTAGGGAACGAGCAAATGCCTAAAAGGAGGAAGAAAATTCCGCTTGCAGGGTCAGTAGAAGATGGAGTACGCAACAATTCGTTGACACCTGAGTCTGGGGAGCTTAAGAGAGATGGGTCTGGACGAGTCAGAGCGAGGTCATCCGAATCTGAAGAACAGGATGCCCATACTAGGTCTTCCAGTAGGAATGATTACCCTGATAATGACTCAGAGAGGGATGACTACATGGATACTGACAAGGAATATGGTAATAATGACTCCAGTGTTAGTCAGTCAGATACAGATTCTGAGGATAACAATAACTCTCGTGAGACCTCAGAACCTGCAGCTCCTCCACAAAGAAGCGTAAACATGCTTCAGGGCTGTAGAAGTGTTGACGAGTTTGAGAGACTAAACAAGATAGATGAAGGCACTTATGGTGTTGTATATAGAGCCATGGATAAGAAAACTGGAGAAATTGTGGCCTTGAAGAAGGTAAAGATGGAGAAGGAAAGAGAAGGTTTTCCCTTGACTTCTCTTAGGGAAATAAACATTCTTCTTTCTTTTCATCACCCATCAATTGTCGATGTGAAGGAAGTGGTGGTGGGGAGTAACCTTGATAGTATTTTTATGGTGATGGAGTACATGGAACATGATCTTAAAGCACTAATGGAGACAAAGAAGGAGCCATTCAGTCAGAGTGAAGTTAAATGCCTTATGCTCCAGTTATTGGAAGGTGTCAAATATCTTCATGATAATTGGGTGCTTCATCGGGATTTGAAGACATCGAACCTGCTTTTGAATAATCGTGGTGAGTTGAAAATATGTGACTTTGGATTGTCTCGTCAGTATGGGAGTCCTTTGAAACCGTATACTCATTTGGTGGTTACTCTTTGGTACAGGTGAGTTGCAATATCCCCTTCTGGTCTGCATTGCTATTTATAGCTGATCATATGATTTTAGTGTTCATATCATCCTTAAAATGTTTTATGTTTACCCGTTTAACCTATTACTTCCACTTTGACTGTATATTGATTTGTGGCTTTGCTGGTTTTCCATTTTTATTAAATTAAATTCGTTTTAATTTCAAGTAGTTGGATGCATACTTTTTTGTAAATTAGCTTGTTACTCCTGGTATCTCTCTTTGAATTTTGAGTTTGATGTTATCTCTGTTTCCAACTCAATTATGTTGGTCATGTTGGTTTTAATGTGATAACAACTGTTGACCTCTCTTTATCCCTACCTCCCTTTGCCTGGTGTGCATGTGCTTCTGTGTGTTGTATGTAGATTCATGCTTTTTCTATATCGGCAGAAGATTTAGTCACTATCCTCATTCAATGCAGGGCACCTGAACTCCTGTTGGGAGCAAAAGAATATTCAACGGCAATCGATATGTGGTCACTTGGTTGTATAATGGCTGAACTATTATCGAAGGAGCCACTTTTCAATGGGAAAACGGAATTTGATCAACTTGACAAGGTAAGTTAATTTTTGTTGATGCTTGGTTACACTCTTGCTCATTCACATACTTGTGGATTTATTTATTTATATTCACTAACTCTATAATCACTGCAGATTTTTAGAATCCTTGGCACACCAAATGAGACTATCTGGCCTGGATATTCCAAGCTTCCTGGAGTCAAGGTCAACTTTGTTAAGCACCCGTAAGTATGAATATATTTGTGAACTAATTCCCAACTTCGATTATGACATCATGGTGTTCTTATTCTTGCCTGTTTTCCCAGGCTTCCAGCTTTGGGTGATTCTGGTCTGGCTATCTGGCCTCCATTGGTGATGCTTTCAGATGCTAAGAATTTTCGTTTATGTATTAACTACTGACCTGTTTTCTTCAGGTATAACCTTTTGCGCAAGAAGTTCCCAGCTACATCATTTACTGGATCTCCAGTTCTTTCTGATGCTGGATTCAATTTGTTGAACAAGCTTTTAACTTATGACCCTGAGGAGGTGAGTTTGCTATCTAGACTTGCCTTATTTTGCTATTATTGGTATAGTTTACTTATACATGTACTGTATTTTATACAGAGAATTACAGCTGCAGATGCTCTGAATCACGAGTGGTTTCGTGAAGTTCCTCTTCCCAAATCGAAGGAGTTCATGCCCACATTTCCTGCTCATCATGCTCAAGACAGGTATCTTGACCTCTAATGTTGCAAACAATTCCCACCTGTAGTATTGCTTCTGGTTCCATTTTCCTGCATTTAACAAATTTATCCATGTTGTAAACAGGCGCACACGGAGAATATTGAAGAGTCCTGATCCCTTGGAAGAGCAACGTAGAAAGGAATTGCAGCAAGGGGAAATAGGAACTGGTGGTGTGTTTGGCTAGTAGATATGAATCAGTGATCAGTGGCCTTGATACGCAGTTGGACATGGCTGAGGTGAGAGACATGCATTGAACGGAAGTTGCAAACATTCTATGTCAGACGATCATATGTGCTCTTTTTTAGCAGGCAATTCTTTGTGATTTGGGCGGAGATTTGTATTTTTTTTATGGCTCCTGTCAACCAGATTTGTTGCAGGTTAACTTTGTTCTTCATCTTTGATCATCGTATAGAATTGCATCTATGACCCTGCTTTCATTGCGAGGTGTGGCATAATTGCCTTTTCTTTTAAAAAGAGAATCAGTTTCAGCTGAAACTTGTGTATGTAACATATTTTCCTTGGCACATTGTAAACAGTTCTCCTTTGGTTTTCAATATTAGCACTGTCAATTATATTAGAATATATTTAATATTCACATTGTGTTTGCAAGAGACGGTTGGTGTGGAGTGGAGGGGGCGTTCTTTGCTTTTCGTTGACGAAGAATTTGACAATTACCATATTATTTTTTAAAGGTAATCTGTTAATTTGATATCTGTGGGATGTTATGAGGGATGAAGATTTTAACCCATAAGGGTGTATTTAATTTCAATTTAGATGTTGGAGCATACACTAATATAATGCGGTCTAACCTCAATTATGTCAATAATGCAAATCTTTGTTGTGTCATAACTAACTCCTTGCATAAATGTGAAGGATTAGGTGAATCTTTGTAGAGCTGCGATGAATATGTTATCTTAGTAGCATCCATGAAATATACCATATATCCGTTTAAAACTTTTGTTTTTTGAGAGGGCAAATATGTCTCTTCAGTAGCACTGCTTGGAAATTAAAAGTCCTCAAAAGGAAAAGGGGGACAAAAGAAAACCAAATTTGCTGCTTTCTTTAATCACTGGTTTGAGTCAGTGAACCTGATAATGCGTTCTTGATTTAGTGTTCAAACGTTGTGTTAAAGTAAGCTCGTTATACCTGGAACTGAAGTGCTTACTAAGGTTAATTTGAAGGGCACAAGCTGTAACCTTTGCCATTTTCTTTTTCATCTGTGCCATGGTAGGAATTCAGATATCAGATATGAACTTGATGCTTACTTAAGGAGGGGGTGATTCTTCTGTTTGCAAAATTTTAGTAAGTTCATAGTGAATTGATCTTTATTATATGGCTATGCTGTGTTGGTATAGCGGTCCATCCTTTATTTTCAGTGGCCTCGTCAGCTGTGTCTTAGTGGTTATCGGTATTTTCCCTCCATCAATACGTGTGGGCATGAAAAATGATTGACTTTGTCCATTTGTTGTCTTCTTTTGCTTCTGGTGTGCATGAAGAATCAACATTTCACTAGTTCTAGAATTGTTTATGACATATATCTGCGTATGTCACTGCAGTATCAAAGCAAGCAGGTTGAGGAGGTTTCCTGCACTTCCAGGAATTTATAACACTTCAATTAGTTGTTCCTACAGGCTCACTAGAGGTACTATGCAAACCTTGGTTTGTTTAGATTTTGGTCTTATCTTCTTGGGATCTTCTTGGTTTTTTATGGGAATGATTCTTGATGGCATTTAGTGTTTGCTTTTTTTTTTCTTCTTCTTTTGTTCCAGAAGAATGTTTTAAGAAATGCATTAAAGGGAGGAAAAAAAAAAACTCTGGTCTCAGTTCCTGAACAGTTTACATTCTAAAGTTGACAAAATGGCAGGTGCATGTTGTGGCCCATTTAAGATGCTGCCTGTTTGTTCATGTAATTGAATAAAAATCAATTCTAGTTAAAAACTGAATGCATGCATTTTGAAATGTGAAGTGATACTGGTGATATACAACATGCTTTTCCATCTAGAAATTGCTTTTGTATATTTTTTTGGTTTCCCGTACTTTTTAGAGGACATAACTGAGGTTTTGGATAGATGGTCTGTTTCTGGTCCAAATTCGTCCATACAAGGAACATTACTTCTCTGTCACTTGAGATTAGAAATTTGCAGAGTGTAAAATTGTCTAGAACCAGAATAGCTTGATTTGTACATCGTGGGAGTCAAATATACCGAACAATTTAAAATGATTCAGTTCTGTAAAAGTTTGGATATCTGATTGTCATTTGATCATGGAATTAGCAAAGAACAGCTGCTTGCATGAATGGATATTGCTTCTGTATTACTGAAGGGGCATGGAGGGCTGGGTACTTTTTAAAGGCTCCTGCATGTATCTGTTGGAACGTGTAGTTTGATTTAGATACACATCTCGTTGAAAACATTGAGTTTCTTCAAGTGTTCTTTGTCCGTATGTTTTTTCTAATTATAAATATGTATCAATCTTGATTCTTGCAAATTCCGAAAATGGTGTTGCTCATTTGGTGGTGTGAAGATGAATGCGAAATTACTAATTTGTACCTTAATGTGGATTATTAGTTTATAAGGACCTTGTAGAGATACAATGTAAAGTTTGTAATCTTGTATAAATATCATGTGTCTGGGGCTGGGTTTATGGAATTTTTTTCTCCTATAGTGGACAGGAAGATCCTCATATTTTGATATCTGGTTATTGTTGCTTATGTGTGGCATAATTCTATAATAGGCATGGCTGGAGTGGGATGGGTTGCTTGGAGATGGAATATAGTATAGTGTCAGCTTCCCATTTACTTAACCAAATAGAATCCGAGAAGATTAAGTAAGCCTAGGTGGGATATAGAAAATACTTTGCCATATGCTTTGTGCAGGTGGTGACTGATGATATTCAACCAGCACACTTTTGACGTTAAGGTCATAGTACAAATGTGAGTTAAAGGAGGTTGCTGATGGCTGATGAATTCCCCCAAACATCAAACGATCTGCCTACGTGCGACTAAATTCTGTTCCATGTACTTTAAAATGTCAGGTTTCTTTTGCACGTTGCATTAATGTATTGATCATGTAATTTGTCTCGGTCCATTCCAGATATTTTATGGTTGATTTCTATGCTGTATTCTGTGTCAAGCGGCAATGAAACCTTGTTAGCCCGTGCCATAACTCATGTTCTTGTACATCCATGATAACACTGGCTGATTTGGGAAAGTAGCACTGAGATATTTTCCTTTTGACATTGTTGGAAAGTAGCAATAGATTAGGACAGTACAGTTTTTCTCATAGATGAGTGAACTGTCGGAACCTGGGATGCTAAAAGACCTTGTTTCTGTTTTGGGATATAGTTCGAAATGCTTAATGATGCAATCTCTGTTAGGAGGGAAGTTGATGGCTTTGAGCCTTGCAAGTGCACTGTGGTATACAAGCCATGCATGTATGATGTTTAAGATATCTTTAATAAAATTTTCAAGATCCAAGTGATTTTGGTTTATGGTTATTCTGCAAGACAGCCTCTGAATCGGCTTGGCCTTTCCTTTTAGCAATGGACTTGTGCACCCATTTTTTTCTCAAAGGGAAGGGTGTCTTCCCCGGCAGATATTGTGATCTCAATATTCGTCTTGTTTTCATATGCATGTTATAACTCGAAGTACCTAGTTATTTTCCTTGTGCCAAAAATGGATATTATCATGTGGTTGAAAGGCGGTGAAATATCCGTATTTCGGAACATGAAAAATCAATTCTGAGTCGGCATTTTATTTGTATCAAGAGCGCTTGGTGGTGTGCCCGGAACATATAAAAATTTCTTGTGGTGAAGGGCTTTCTTTCAATTGAAAAATTAGTAAAAGGACGAGTGGTTTTACAACTTAAAAAATATAAATGAATAAATGAATGGAAGACAGGGTTTGACATTCAATACAACAACTCAAACATGGTTGCTGCTCAATCAACTTGAATTCTATTGCTGTTTCGGTATATGTAAAAGAAGCACGAATTTACAACAAACAAGTTTCTTCCTATTTTTCTCTGGCTGTTGGACTTGTATTCGGAAACAAGGTGGACACCTTTGAGAACTGCATCGTTATGCAAGCTCCTCCCAACAGATGTCATGGGGAAATAATCGAAGAGATGAAATTGCAAACTGAAACAGATCGACAATCGCAGCCGTAAACCTTGAATATCTTGTTCGCAGGTTGATTCCTGATGTCATTGTGGTCGGAAAAGAGTGGCGCTTATTAAGTTGACGAAAAAACTAGTGTCTTTCCGAGCACAAAGGTGATCAAAGATAGTTCGATGAAAAAGATGGTGTTGAGGAGGCCTCTATCGACTGTCCATCCAAATATTGTGATCCCCCCATAATTAGTTTGCAAATACATCACTGCATTGGAGAATAAAGGGATAGAGCATGAGACAAAGGACAACCCACAGAAGCCAACTACGTGAAAATGAACAAAAAAAACACCTATATGACATGCAGCAAATGATACAACACTAAAAGTGCCTCCTGTTCAAACATGAAAAAGATAAACAGAGTCCTTGAAATTTCGAAGTTTGAAAACATTTGAACTAAAATGTCCACTGATTAGCTGATGGAAGAAAATCCCATGACTTAAGGCAAGAGTTCATTTTTGCAGGACAAGCCAACAACACGTTTCGTAACTAACAAAGCGAAATCTGAGGCTTATTCACTAAACAATCTCACTGTGACCAAACTATACATCAACATTTTATTTGAGAGTTTTTAACACATGATCCATAATCAAATGATGTCAAATTGAAGTGAAGGAAAGTAGCTAGCCTTTTGCTTCCCTCTGTATTCATATGCATTTGTGAGTTGATTTATCTCTCGTTATAATATTGTCTCATGTAGATCATAGCATTAAAGGAAACATAAGCCAATTTTTATTCTTATAAGTTGAAGAATGTTACCAAAAGCTTGTCTCCTGTGATACGAGGACATATATGAAGCCAGCTGTGTATTTGTAGGCATTGCAACATAATCCACTGATTCCAGATCACTCTCAGAGTAACTAATATGCAGTGAGTTCAATGTGTTGGCAGCCTCCAAGTTCTGCGCACTGTTTGAATTTCTGTTTTGAGATGTCTCATTAGAACTGCATGTTACTAATGCATGCCATCTACTGGCAACTGATGCTATGCCTTGGGCTCTATGGGAAATTCTGGTCGCCGCATGCAGAGAAAGACTAAAGCCGACAACCTGAACAATTGTAGAGACCTGGAAATTTGGGGCAAAAAAGGGAAGGAAATTCAATGCATTGAACTTAATTACTGCAGAATGTACTGAGAAGCAAATACACAAAAAGCACGAAACTCACTGCAAAATCACCGCCGTTTATTAAAGTGATTTTTCCACTGTATCCTGTGGTCTCAAATAGAGTCACAAACTGGCTTGCTGTGACAACTAAGAACTGCAAAACAAGGAAGATCCGGAACCTGTGGCTTATTTTAGAGAGATGATACCGCAGACGAATATGCTCCTCCATAAAGATCAACACATCAGATTCCCTTTCCAAGAGCCTCGCGTAATCATCAAAGTGGATAACTTGCAAATTGCAGACCAGGTGAAACAAAATGCTGGCTGTTAGAGTGATTGTACTCACATAGGCCCATGACAGAACCAAAGCTAATAAAATAGCAACTGACACCCCCCATGAATCGTGAAGGACATAGATCATGCGGACAACCTCACGTACAGTCTTCAGAAGAAAACATGGCAGTGCCCACCAAACGAGCAAGCGTAAAGAACCCTGTGAAGATATGGTATCCAGGGAAATTCTGAGCATAGTAAATTACTGGAAACTTCTGGCCAAAAATGTCTAGACGGTTTAAAATAAACAAACGAAATAGTTAAGTGACGACAATGAATCTATACTCGATAAGTCTTTTCAATATTTGCAGGCCGCAGTTAGTGAAAGAAAGTAAGTTACTTGTTGAATGGATAACAGAAAGGTGAATGTGCTATGCCTATGGACATTGATGAACAAATATAAAATTGAGAGAACACGAAAACGAAAGACTTCAGTTATGCTTTCTGCAGGTTTCGAAGTAGAAAGGAAGGATGCTGAATTTTGGTAAGTACATTATGTTGCATACCATGTAACCCTCCCATTACAGAGTTGTATAAATAATAATTACTCATCACAGCCAAAAGGTGACAACTTTAGCTCACATTCAAGACCATAAATTTGAATTACCAAATTTTACACAACTATGAAACTGCCCATAAGATCACATTTGGGATTGATATATATGAAGCAAAGCACAGACAACCTCTTCATAACACAATCATCAAGCAAACCAATTTAAATAAGCAGCAGCGGGAAGAAATATATCAAACACTAAACGATCTTACCTTTATCTGCTTAATGTAATCGTTTCGAAATCGCAACATATGGCCGCTATAGCGGTCGACAAAGAGGAACCTCCGAAGACCATACTTTCGAAGATTGTGAGAGAGGCAGAGCAAAGACACCGTGGCAAGACACGCCTGCGAGCCGACGATAACGAGCTCGAAACTTTTTATCTGATACTTCGCGCAATCCGAGCAGTTGAAGAGCTCAACAGCAAGCACTGGAAGCAACACACCTATGAGCACAAGAGCAGTCCAAGACATGGCAAGGCTTAAGAAAGAAGATTGACTGAAACCCAATAAAGTGAGAAAGGTTTCTAGCCATTGAAGGGTTTGGTCCAATTGGGTATCTTTGTATCCTTCTTCTAGTCCTTGGCGGTGGTTGTTGTTATTAGAATCAAGAAGAGGGGTGTTTTGGGCTGGTGGCTCCTCTGTTTTTAAACCAGGATTAGCCATGAACAACTTAGAGCTTAATTGGGGAGACGAAAGTTGAGATTTTGATGGGTTTGGAACTAAAATGGTAGCAACCCAGTGGAGATTTTCGTGCTATAAGTAGGAAAGTTTATAAACCATTGACATGTTCAGCCTGTCAGATTGAGAATCAGATCAGTCAGATCAAACCCAGGGTTCAAGTTTTTTAAGTCCCTTTCCCTTTCGTTCAGGAAGCAACTTATCAATCAGATCACCGAACGTAACAATAATATTTTTTTTAAAAGACTGCAACGTATGCCAACTAGACCAAAAGAATCGTTTGAACCGAAGGCTCGTTATTGAATTTGAGCCGTTGGATCATTGGGGGGAAGAAATAGTATATTCATAACCGTAGGATTTCGGTGACTTTTTTCCCGGTGAAGGTTTTTTCTTTTTGGCCAATATACTTACCTGGAGACCTGGGAATTGGAATATCTTTCCTACTTTTTGCCATCTCGAATTCTTTATTGTGAAGAGAAAATGATGAATGAGTATGAGTGACAGGTATCGGAAACAAAAATGACTCATTACAAAGTGTCGGATCTGTAATCTGACTGCGCTTTGTTTATGCGACACTCGGATGCAAAAACATAAAACCAAATTTGTTATTCAGATTCTTAAACCACAAACCTTGTCCAATTCCAAGTCTTTGGGTTCCCGCCAAATATAAACTTGTTTCTGTTTCCATAGGCCTATTTGAGCTGAGCCAATCCTGGCAGCACGCACAAGAGCAATCACTGACCCAACCCATGTGAAACTAATAAGCAAGATTAGGCCGTTTTGATTGGGGTTTAAGTGTAATAATTGGTGGGTTAGGGAGGGTGGAATGGTTTTGTTTAGTGAGTTGGAGTGTCATGATTGAGAGAGTGATGTTTTTCTTTTTTGGGTTACATGATGAGATACGAGTTCTCATGGAAGAAATGTTTACTTATACGGAATGATGATATCATAAATTAGGGAAGTCATAAATTGGAAATAGAATGAATACATATGAGATCAACAACTCTCCTAAATGAATCTAATTTCTAATTTTTCCGGTATTAATTTTTGAATTTTAATGTAGAACTTGCATAAGTTTTTCGTTTCCTTATATGCATAATGTATATCCTTTTCCATGAAGTTTTGGGTCCTATATCTATAGAGTGAGGAACTCACGTTGCTTACGGATGGACTCTTCTTTTATTTTAATTAACAGACTATGACCTATGCTTGTGTTTAGCTTTTGTCTTTTAGGTCCTGACACACCCCCCCACATTTCCATTCTTAAATAACAAGTTGTCACTAGAGCCACCAAAGGAATTAACAAAAGTAACTAGAGTTAAATTAACTTGTATTAAATCATGACAATGCCTCACTAGTATAATTTTGTTTCGAACATTAATTATAATTTGAAAGCCTTCTTCACGAGTGAGGCAAAAACGTCTTGTTGTTTGCCTTTAGCTAAGCTCCACCACACATCTCAGCTAACATTTTGGGAAAGCAAAAGCTATGCATGAGTAAATGATATGATAGGATCCCCAAAATATATACAAAGAATCTTTTGACGAGATTAGGTCACACTGTTATATACAACATTTCTTTATGTGATTCACAAGTTATGTGTTATCCTCTAGGAAGTTTTTGAGCTGTTTGTTATAAAGGTTTGACTTTGACTAGTTTGGATTAAATTTAGGGTCAATTTAGGATTGCTATTATTAAAAAAAAAAAAAAAAAAAGTTATTTATGCTGTGCTTTGAAAATAATTAGCTGTAAAATAAAGCAGCTCTATGTTTGGTAAACAATATTTTTAAAGTGTTGTTAGTACAACAAGTTGTGTCAAAATCGTTTGATAAATTTTAATATGAATATGTTGTAATTATGAATAACGATTAAAATAATAGACATGATGTTGAAAGTGTTATGCACTAATCATGTGGTGGTAGTGGTGGTGATGGAGGTGGTGGTGAAAGAGATGTTGGTGAAGGTGGTAGTGGTGGTGATGAATGTGGAGATAGTAGGGATGTCAGTAGTGGAGGTGGAGGTGGAGGTAGTGGTGTAGACGGTGGATGTTGAGGAGGAGGAGGTGGCGGTGGCGGCATCATGGTAGTGGTGGTGAAGGTGGAGGAGGAGGTGGTTGTTGTGGTTGTGGTGGAGGAGGATGTGGTGGTGGTAGTAGAGGTAGTGAAGGTCATGGTGGAGGTGGCAAAGTTGGATGTGGAGGTAGAGGTGGTGTCATTTTTAAAAATTAATGATAGAATTTTGGGAATTAAAAAAATACAAATTTATAAATAAACCCAATCCTAGACATGTATTTATAAAAAAAACCCAAGCACTATTTAAACATAAAAACACACCCAAAATCAACCCCAAAGTCAACTTTTTGGGTGTGTTTATAAATGGGTTTTGAGTGTGTGTAATGATGGGTTTTGGGTGTGTTTATATGTTTCAATAGTGCTTGGGTTTTTTTTATAATTTCAACCCCCATTTTGGGTGTTTTAGTGAAACTCCCTTAAAAAAATTCATTAAAGGCTCATCTCTGCTTTTTTCAAAAGTATCTTTGAAAAACAACTCATAACCTATTTTTAAAAGCTGCTGTCAAAAGTACTTTTAAAATAATAGGGTGTTTTAGATTTACCAAACACTTTAAACTGCTTAATTTTAAAGGAAAGTGAGTTTTTGGCCAAAAAAAGCAATCCCAAACGGGTATTTGGTCCCATGTTTATTTCATCTAATCCTAGTTTAAAATAAGATTGCTAATATCGGGCCCAACAAAAACACCTCCTTAAAGCATCTCTAACCGATATGTCAAATTGCCACATGGATATGAAATGACAAAAATTGAAAGTTAAAGTTGCTCCAACCGAGTAGTTAAATCCTACATAGATTTGAAGGCCGGAAGAGATATGTCAAAAATAACATATGAAAAAGCTTGATATCAAATATTTTTTTACTCATAGACCCCACTATCATTCACTCTATTTTAAAACTTTATGTATCATATGGCTCCCATTTACTTTTAAAAATATAATAAAATAATATGATATTTGGCACTTTTGATGGAGTTAAATTGTTTTCAAAATGTCGAATTGCCACATAAGCCATCAAATTCAAATTTAACATTTTTCATTTGACATCTCCCTTGTAAATGCTCTTAGGATGGGGACTAATAAACCCATGTGGAAAGGGAGGATTAACTAGTTCCATGCGAATAATGCTACTCTTTGGCCCTTTGCTATGGCAACGGGTGAAAACACACCTTATTTTTTGCAAGGGTTGCCACTATTTACGTGAATAGTATATGCCCTTGCCTCCCCTTGGCCTTTGCCATAACAAATAGGCAGAAGTGCTCTTAGCTCATTTATGTTCTACTTTGACGATTAAAATACTACTCTTACCACATTTATATACCACATCCTTATACCATCTTATGTGGCAACTGAGGTGGACAGCCGCGTCAATTAAAATTATTTAATATTTTCTTTTATTTTATGATTTATTTT